ATGGAGGTGGTAGCGCAGAGAGGTATGGGTCATGATGGCAGGGCTAGAGGGGGCTGTGGCTTGGGAGTGAGGCACTGGCCTATCGGGGCTGCTCAGCAGCACAAAACAAGGGGGGCAGGCAGGGGACTAGCCACAGATATACCCATGTCCTGGTGAGTGAAGGGGACAGGGGGAACTCTGATTTTCCAGGATAAAAAAAAAAATAACAAAATCAAACACAAAATATATAGGTATTTAAAATTTATTTTATTATAATGATTAAGGTACTGGTAGGCTGCTTTAAACTGCTTTAAAACTAAATGTATCAATAAAACATTGTGCTCAACTGATACATACATATATAGTGGCGTTTCATTTTAATTGTGGAAAAAGGTGGATTTGGGAGTTTTTAATCAGAGAATTTTTAATTTTTAAACAAAGGAAAGCAAGATCCCTGATCATGAGATAATTTCAGTGGAGTCTATACATTGGCTTATGTCTGGTCACCACTTACAGGACTTGTTACTCTCTCCCTTCATTAATATCCAAGGTGTTAATATTTGAACACAAGCTTGCTTGGAGATAGGAAAACTTCTGTCCTACTTAGGTCTTCCCTTCTCTGGAGAAAAACCCCACCCATTAAACTATTCCTCATCGGTCATGTTTTCTAAACGTGTCTTCAATCTTGTTGCTGTCATCTGGGGGCTCTCCAGTTTGACTGTCTTTCTTAAAATCCAATGCCAAAGCAATGCCACCCTCACCCATACCAACTAGAACAGATAATTACCTCCCACGCATAATTCCTTTCACTGTGGGCTGTGCTGAAATTGGCTTCCTCTAAAATCAGAATATTGGTGATTCACTGAAACTCAAAATTAAGATTCACCATTATTTAGTGATTCTTTGTAAGCCACAGAAGCTTTTCTGCCGACATTGGATTTGTGCATTTGATTTTTCTTCCCTAAACTTGGCACTTTGCATTTATCTTTATACAATTTCATATGGGTGCATTGATAACGATTTTTTTGGCTGATACCAATGGTTGATTCTTAACCAGAAATAATCAGCCAATACTGATCCGATAGCGAATATGCAGCCTGGCAGCTTGGAGAGCAGTGTCTGGCTGGTAAGT